CAGAGACTATTCTCCTCTAGCTCTCTTGCTAACTGCTTCACTTCCTCCCCCTTCACTCCCTCCCTCCCCCATTTCTGGACTTATCAATAGAGAGTAAAAAGAAAGGAATGTACTGGATTTACAACTAGTGTGCTCAGCATGGCTGTCTCTTTTTTTAGATCTGCTCAGCTGAACCATCTGCATTTTCTTCATTGGGGAAAGAACCTCTCTCAGGGTCTCCTGCCCAGTGCTTCGACAGAGACCAAGCCTTCGCCAATGACAGCTGTCTCCCTCCTTCCTGTCTTGGGTCTTGCATGAAGAAGCTGTCTGTAGCTAGCTGATTCCCTCCTTCCCATCTTAGTCCTTGGGTGAAGATGTAATCTCTCTGGGACTTCATTTCCCTTCCTCCAGGGAAGCTACTCATGGACTTTTCTTCTCCCTCTCTGACCAGGAACCGACAACTGCTCTGCACATTCGTGTAACTTTACTCTCTGACCTTTCTCTCTAGCCACTCCCTTTTACACAGTCATTTTCTCTCCTCTTCTTCTCTCTCTCCTCATGGGGAGATGTAGAGATAGCATTCCCATTGGTCCAGCCTGGTATATAGTTTTTCAGGACTACAGCCCCAGGGGGACATCCACCTCCTTAGCTGCTGGGGGACATGCTGCCGGTCCGACCCAAAAACTTTCTAAATGAATGCAAACTAAGAGAAAACATTATTCTGTTAGGTGATATGAATGAGACAAGGGAGTGCAAAAAATATGACTGGACCACTGTGAGACCCATGAATGAATGAGAATGGTCATCCTTTAGTGAGTATCTGCTTAGAAAAAGGTCTGTTTTGAATACATGATGTAAACATAAGTCCATTAAAACATACACATGGAAAAGGAATTAATCAAAAAGCCTGATTGGTTCTCCCATCAACTTCCAAACTTCCAGCAGCTTTCCACCCCTCCCCTCCCCTCCCCAAAGCAGCTCTCACCAGTGGCTCAGCACAGCATGTCCCACCTCAGTCTCTCCTCTCCTCTCCTCTCCTCTCCTCTCCTCTCCTCTCCTCTCCTCT